TGGTTGAAAATGCCAAACTGGTTTTAATGTTTTTCAAATCATAAAATTTACCCCAGTCCCCACTTAATCACATTCAAATGAAAAAGCAGATGACAACTGACTGAGCTATCTTACAATCTTAAAGATGGGTTTCCTTATATTTTAGTGTCAAATTAAGCAAACTACAATGAACTATCATGTATTCTTAATCATAGCATTATGTTCTTATTGCATATAATTAAGAGTTTTAACCAATCATAAATGTCCATGTATGGAGAGTCTGGATAAACTTTAAAAAAAAAAAGACTTTTTGACCTTTCTTGGTCAGTCACTCATTGGAATTCTGCGGGTAATTCTCTTCTAATTTAGCTAATTATGAATTAATTATGGACAAAACTGGTATTTTTGAAAGTCATTACACCTCTACTTTCTATTCATATAAGTATTAGCATTTTCATTTTCATAAATGAAAATAAGGGAACCCATCTTTATTATAGCACCTAATTGCCTAGCAGACAACAATAAAACTTACAAATGACTAGCTCTACCACTAACTTTTCTACAGTCACTTAACTTGGGGCAAGAGGGCATTACACCCTTCCCGGCCTCCCCACACCAGATTTTGGCCAAGTGTTAAAAGACTGGCACCAGTTGCAGGAACCAATTCTATGACAGCTGGAGTAACTTATTTACAAATGCTTCAAACTAGACATTAATTGCCTTTTACTATCATTTAATGGCTAATTTTTATCATAAAATCCAGGGAATCACAAAACAATCCTGTACAACTTCTGGTTGTCTTTTTCACTATATTGAACACTTAAAGATGGGTTCCCTCATTTTCATTTACGAAAATCAAAATGCTAATACTTATATGAATAGAAACTAGAGGTGTTCTAATGACTTGGAAAAATACCAGTTTGTCTCACATGTCCATAATTAATTCATAATCAGCTAAATTAGAAGAGAATTACCAGCAGAATTCCAATGAGTGACCGATCAAGAAAGGTCAAAAAGTCTTTTTTTGTTTATCCAGACTGTACATTTATGGATATCTATGATTGTTTAAAACTCTTAAGTATATGCAATAAGAACATGATATGATTAAGAATACATGATAATTCATTAAAAACACCAATTAATCAAATAGTTTGCATAATTTGACACTAAAAAAATAAGGAAACCCATCTTTAAGGAGTGTACCAGCTTCAAAATATATCAATTGTTGAAAAAACCATACCTCAATTTGTACACAAATTTATATATTTTGGTAAAAAATAGCAAAACTATTGTTATATACCGATACCGGTTGGTATCACGTTAAATACCAGTATAGAAATTTATATTGTTAATAATATCACCTGATTAATAAATACCGGAATATCACCATATCGTGATATATGGTAATTTTCATGATATATAGTAAAATTTTTGTCCAGATAAGATCATCTACATAATTTTAATAAGTAACTTAATAGTTGAAACAGATGTTTTTTTCATGATATTAAAGACTGGGGTGTTTTTACAGATATTTATTGTTTTATGTTACATTTAAAATTTCTAGATCATAATTTTCTTTCAAAAACCAGTAAAAAATAAACTTCAAAAATATCGTGATATATACCCATATCGTGATATATTAATGCTTAATATCGTGATATCAACTTGAACCAATATCGCCCAGCCCTAATATTGTTATATAAATTTCATTTGCTTTATTTGTTTTTTAAAAAAAATGTCATGTATTGAAGAAGAAAGGAATCGGAACACATCCAATAAGAAATTTATTAACGGGATATAGTCTTAGAATGAACATAAAATTTAAGAATTTTAAACTTGGCGAATAAGAGCCAGTAGATATACCTGGTATCATAAATAACATAACAGGATCCTTATATAATCCGATAAATCCAAAAAACTTAGTAATTATCCATAAATATGCAATTAACTATTGAAATACGCTTAATATCAAGATTAAGAGTTTTTCAATAATTACTTAGTTTTATGAATTTTCCAATTTTCTAGATTTTACAGGGATTCTGTTGTAACTTTATGACACCAGGTAAGTTCACTGATGAATATATACTCATATTGACCATTTCGAGAACTTAAATTTTATGTTCATTCTAAGACGTAGTATCACTTAAATAATTCGGTTGCAACCCAACTTTATTTTTTATAAACTAACATAAAAATCAAGGGACACCTGCTAGATAACTCTGGCAACTACGAAGTTGCACAATATTGTACATTAACATATTGCCTGGTTGATATACCATACCTAGATATTTCATACTTATAATGTATTAACATGTAATACACATAACAAATTTGACTTTAACATTGTAATGTCAATAAAGTTTAATTTTAACTCTACATATATCTAAATATACATGTAAGGGTACATTGACCAAAACCCATTTTAGCCTATTTGTCCAGACAAAACTGGCCATAAGTAAATAATGCCCCAGTCTCTCAGAGTCTCTACTTAAAGATGGGTTCCTTTATTTTCATTTATGAAAATGAAAATGCTAATACTTATATGAATAGAAAGTAGAGGTGTTCTAATGACTTGGAAAATTACCAGTTTGTCTCACATGTACATAATTAACTTTCTTGATCGGTCACTCATTGGAATTCTGCTGATAATTTGGTTTTTTTTCCAAGTCATCAGAACACCTCTACTTTCTATTCATATAAGCATTTTCATTTTCATTAATGAAAATAAGGGAACCCATCTTTAAACTGAATGCGATAGCTTGTTTCATAATGAATGAAATTCATGGGGTTCATTAATAACTACATCAATGGGTCTTATTTTAAATTCTTCTTTCTTTGTGATTCTTCTTTCAGTTCCTAATATAAAATATTTCAAAATGTCTGCTTCAATATACAAACTTTTGAAAGCCGAAAATACAAATATTTTTAAATAATCTAAAACAAAAATCTTGTTACTTACATATTGACTGGTAGTTTCCTCTACCAAACCCCGAAATATCGAAATCACCAATGGTTCCTCAACTCTTTCTTTATTTCATTTTCTAATAGAGCGCCATTATTGTCACGCCCACTTTCTGATCAATGGCAATAACTCGAAACAAAACAGCGCGAAATTCAGTTGAATTATGTCACAGGATTCTAAAATAAACAAAAATTCGGAGTCATAAATGAGAGTTAGACATGGAAAGGCGATTACCAACGTAATATCAGGTTCAGAAATGGATTTCACATACCTTTTGACCCTTGATATCGTTTTTATAGCCCCGTTCTACGCTCTTTCTCTTGTGCAGTCGACAAAGGATTATGGACAATGAAGGTTCAGAGGATGTTATGAATTACCAGACGTTATTAATGCACTGACTTTCTTTATATGACAATCGCGACTATACGGTGTCTATAATATGTCGCATTATCCGAACTCTCATTGGTGTTTTCAAAAGATCATTTCTATGAAAACCAACAAGAAATATTTTTGAATTTTTGATTTGCAAAATGTATTTCAATGTATGTTTATTATATTGTTGCTCTTCTCTTTTTTTTCCCCAAAATTTTAGGAAACGACAATAGGGCAAAATTAAACCTCCCCGTAGTTCCTATTGACCGACACGCTCCGTTAGGTTTCCTTTCAAGCTAGTTTTGCAGACCCAATACATCGGCATTCCAACCACTTAAAGAGTCAATATCTAAGAGTATAACAGTAATATTTAATCTAATTATGAGGGGTTCCCATTTCTTTATTGCGTATCTGAAGGTCATTTGGCCTTGGACACATGCTATGATACGGCCGCTGAAGATTCGATGTCACCAGCGATACGTTTCGAAAAAGTTTGGATGTTGGCGATGTTGTCAAAATTAAAAAAAAAAGCGGTGTGTTGCGATTTGGCTTTGCAACCATTCTTTAAAAAGAAACTTGTTAGAGTTTATTTTTACTTTTAGGAAGGGATATCAAGTTGAAAACCCAGTAGCATAGTGGCATCAGGCGTTTTGAAAGGAAAGAGTCACAGGCCATGGTGGAGCCCCGCCTATATAATATGATGATAGAAATTCGAATTTTCTTTAGAGTGGCCCGAAAACATCTTATTTTGCTGCGAGCGTGTGAATGGAATTTTTATATGGAAGATGTCTACGGCCATTTCTACCATCGAAGAGAAAGCAAGTTTGGGAGGGGTCCGTCTTGAGCTATCAGATAAAAAATAAAGTTGGGTTGCAACCGAATTATTTAAGTGATACTACGTCTTAGAATGAACATAAAATTTAAGTTCTCGAAATGGTCAATATGAGTATATATTCATCAGTGAACTTACCTGGTGTCATAAAGTTACAACAGAATCCCTGTAAAATCTGGAAAATTGGAAAATTCATAAAACTAAGTCATTATTGAATAACGCTTAATCTTGATATTAAACGTTTTTCAATAGTTAATTGCATATTTATGGATAATTGCTAAGTTTTTTGGATTTATCGGATTATATAAGGATCCTGTTATGTTATTTATGACACCAGGTATATCTACTGACTCTTATTGGCCAAGTTTAAAATTCTTAAATTTTATGTTAATTCTAAGACGTAGTATCACTTTAAATGATATCTCAGTTTAAGAAGTCAAATAGAACTGTTAGTATTGAAGTGTTGAATGGTTATTCAAGTGTCCAATGGTAACTGATATCCTATACCGGAAGTTCAATGGTTCAAAATACAATCTGTCCCGATTTCAGGTTGTCATCGTGCCAACTTTCATTTGACACAAGATATAAAGCTGAGGTCAAGACATAATTATTTTCTCAGAGATCAGCTTGCTTCCTCCTGACCCAACCTAGATTCATGGGTGTATCGTGTTTTTGTCATACCATACACCTAATTATAACCTCTGGTACAAACGAAACAGATATTTAAAGTGATACTACGTCTTAGAATTAACATAAGATTTAAGAATTTTAAACTTGGCCAATCAGAGCATATATTCATCAGTAGATATACCTGGTGTCATAAATAACATAACAGGATCCTTATATAATCCGATAAATCCAAAAAACTTAGTAATTATCCATAAATATGCAATTAACTATTGAAATATCAAGATTAAGCGTTTTTCAATAATTACCTAGTTTTATGAATTTTCCAATTTTCCAGATTTTACAGGGATTCTGTTGTAACTTTATGACACCAGGTAAGTTCACTGATGAATATATACTCATATTGACCATTTCGAGAACTTAAATTTTATGTTCATTCTAAGACGTAGTATCACTTCAAAGGAATACCAATGGACATAGAATTGTCTCATACTTGTATGGTCACTATGAGTATATTTATCAGATGGACTTACCAGGTGCCATGACGACAGAATAGAATCTGTATAAATTGAAAAACTCTTCTAAGCGTGATTCAAAATTACTTTGTTAAATGGATTATTACTTAGTGTCATGTTTTTATTGGATAAAGCGATTCTGACGAATAAGGACTCATTTCGGACACGTTTAAAAATTAAGCTTAAAGATGGGTTCCCTTATTTTCATTTATGAAAATGAAAATGTTTATACTCATATGAATAAAAAGTAGAGGTATTCTAATGACTTGGAAAAATACCAGTTTGTCTCACATGTCCATAATTAATTCATAATTAGCTAAATTAGAAGAGAATTACCAGCAGAATTTCAATGAGTGACCGATCAAGAAAGGTCAAAAAGTCTTCTTTTTTATCCAGATTGTACATACATGGACATTTATGATTGGTTAGAACTCTTAATTATATACAATAAGAACATAATGATATGATTAAGAATACATGATAATTCATTACAAACACCAATTAATCAAATAGTTTGCTCAATTTGACATCAAACAATAAGGAAACCCATCTTTAAATTCCACGGAACATGCTTGAAAGAAGTAGCTCGTCAGATCATGGATGACAAAGTGTAGTAACCTGCGGAAAAACACAACCAGATTGCGCAAGATGACAAAAATGTAAGAAACAGCAAACTGAAACCTGATCTTATATGATGAATCTACTAGGGCCTATTGAATTCTGGAATATTAAAGTCGCAATTCTTTACGGTTGGATAAATTCGCCACATTTCTAACAGTTCCAAAACGGACAGTTTATGATTATTGAAACAGGGCTTCAAGAGTTTTTATTCAACACGTGGTTTTTGGCGACTGTGTAAATACTGCTTGTAGGCGTATAACATTGTCGAGTCATTTAAAGACAAAGAAAAGATCGGCGGTTCTTAGACACCGTTTCTTATCGTTTGGAATCAGAACAAAATATGTTTTTATTTGAGAGAGTCGTGTTGTTGATCAAGTCAGAGAGTCTGGGAATGAGGTCAAGACAGACGACATGCCCCATGTGAACATTCTTTCTTCTCGTGATATAATTCCATTTAAACCAGGATACACATGTTTTCAGATATATACGTCACAAATAAGGCGTTTAAAGATGGGTTTTCTTGTTTTTATAATGAATTATCATGTATTCTTAATCATAACATTATGTTATTATTACATATAATTTAGAGTTTTAACATTTTTGATCAGTCACTTATTGGAATTCTGCTGATAATTCTCTTCTAATTTAGCTAATTATGAATTAATTATGGACATGTGAGACAAACTGGTATTTTTCCAAGTCATTAAAACACCTCTACTTTTTATTCATATAAGTATTAGCATTTTCATTTAAATAAATGAATATAAGGGAACCTATCTTTAAGCTTCAAATTTTTAGACACCTGTCTCTACCCTACAGGCTACAGCCTCTGGGGTAAATCAAATTGTTTTACTGTAATCATATTATAAGTGAAAACTCAAAGAACGAAATTGAAAAAGTTGATGGAAGAGATATAGCCTACCTTCCAATGCCACCAGGCCTTTGAAATTTCCTTTCAATAGTTAATATGTGCTCTTAAATCTTAATCTTATTATACCTCCATCTTTACATACGCGCAACATCCAACTTTGACATTTTTGAGGCCGAGAGACATAAAACGAAAACAATGTTTTAGTTGTCTACGACTCAAACCAGAAGAAACATATGGTTATTAATTTCGTTTGTAGTTTTTACCGAAAAACCAAAATCAACAATTCGCCTATGGACAATTTCGTATCATAATAAGGCCTTTATATATTATTAATAAAAGCGTATTCATATCTATACCAAAATTCGCCGCCTCATGCTAAGCTATTTAGATAAAATGAACCACGGTCACATCAATTTATTCTTTTAAGAAGTGTGGTTTAAACTTGAATGGCGATGGGATCCTGTCTACCAAGTGCCTTGGCCTATTCACTTAGTTTATTCCTACCTATTTAGAATAATGCTGCAGTATGACTTATTCAATGCCTATTTACGGCTAGATAAACTGGATTAATGAATAGATAAGATGACATAGTACCAATTTACATTTGATTTCACCAGAATCTTCAAGACCAATATGTTTAGGTCTACAGCAAGAGACTTGTTACAGCTTACAGAAGAAATACAAATTTCATTAATATCCTAGTCTATGGTATACTTAACCCTCAATAGCCTTAAAATATCTGACCTTCCTACGATGACTATTCATATTAATGCTTCTTATTTTCTTATAGATACATGAAAAGATTTTGTTTCACAATACAGGTTTTATCTTGAGATGATTATTGATATATCAGAAAAATATTGACTCTTATATTTTCAGCTATTTCAGCTAAAGAAGATGATACCTCCACAGATAGTATTACAGAGACATCCTTAGTTAACATATCTAATTATCTTAACCTTTGATACTACCACAGATAGTATTACAGAGACATCCTTAGTTAACATATCTAATTATCTTAAACTTTAATACTACCACAGATAGTATTACAGAGACATCCTTAGTTAACATATCTAATTATCTTAACCTTTGATACTACCACAGATATTATTACAGAGACATCCTTAGTTAACATATCTTATCATCTTAACCTTTGATACTACCACAGATAGTATTACAGAGACATCCTTAGTTAACATATCTTATCATCTTAACCTTTGATACTACCACAGATAGTATTACAGAGACATCCTTAGTTAACATATCTAATTATCTTAACCTTTTATACTACCACAGATAGTATTACAGAGACATCGTTAGTTAACATATCTACTTATCTTAACCTTTGATACTACCACAGATAGTATTACAGAGACATCCTTAGTTAACATATCTAATTATCTTAACCTTTGATACTACCACAGATAGTATTACAGAGACATCCTTAGTTAACATATCTTATTATCTTAACCTTTGATACTACCAAAGATAGTATTGCAGAGACATCCTTAGTTAACATATCTTATTATCTTAACCTTTGATACTACCACAGATAGTATTACAGAGACATCCTTAGTTAACATATCTACTTATCTTAACCTTTGATACTACCATAGATAGTATTACAGAGACATCCTTAGTTAACATATCTAATTATCTTAACCTTTGATACTACCACAGATAGTATTACAGAGACATCCTTAGTTAACATATCTAATTATCTTAAACTTTAATACTACCACAGATAGTATTACAGAGACATCCTTAGTTAACATATCTAATTATCTTAACCTTTGATACTACCACAGATATTATTACAGAGACATCCTTAGTTAACATATCTTATCATCTTAACCTTTGATACTACCACAGATAGTATTACAGAGACATCCTTAGTTAACATATCTTATCATCTTAACCTTTGATACTACCACAGATAGTATTACAGAGACATCCTTAGTTAACATATCTAATTATCTTAACCTTTTATACTACCACAGATAGTATTACAGAGACATCCTTAGTTAACATATCTACTTATCTTAACCTTTGATACTACCATAGATAGTATTACAGAGACATCCTTAGTTAACATATCTAATTATCTTAACCTTTGATACTACCATAGATAGTATTACAGAGACATCCTTAGTTAACATATCTAATTATCTTAAACTTTAATACTACCACAGATAGTATTACAGAGACATCCTTAGTTAACATATCTTATCATCTTAACCTTTAACTTGCACCTTGTTTTATCATAAATCTTTACTTTGTGACTTAGGCCAGTGCTTTCATGAGACTATGTTCTCATCACCATCTAACACTGAAATAGATAATTAAGTATGTCCCATAGTAGGCAAGCACTAACATAGTACATACTCAATTGGACGCCTTCGTGGGGTCGTGAACGACAATAAAATCATTTTTACCTAACTAATGCAAAGATCGAATGAGCAAATGTCACTGGATTAAAATGCACTTAACCAATCGACGCATAGTTTTTCGGAGTTAAAATTCAGATTAGTGACACAGATTGGTTATATTTGGTCTAATCAGACGGCACATTCTGAATCTTGAAGTCACGGTTTGTTCGGAATTACTCGTATCTAAATGGAAAAAATCAAAAATTGCAAAAACATTTCGCCGTTTTGGTCTAATATTAAGAAACCGCAACATTAAAAGTGTACAGTAAGGTTATGACTTCATAAATAGATGGAACAGGGCGTTTCTCAAATCGTTCTGAAAACTTTGAGATGATTTATTGGGGAAAAATGAACAACTTAATAAAACTCATAACCTGATGCCACTCTGCGATTGGGTTTGTCAACTAAATAATACCAATAATCATGACAGTTCTACCAGCTTACTTTTACGTTTATATGATATAATATCTGGATTTTTGTATATTTATTCAAGAAAAAGCTTTTTCATCAAAGGATTATCAATTATCACTTCTGGTTCATGACTATGAATTTCTTTTCCGGAATCATAAGTTCTCCACAAATGTATGACACATCAAAATATTTTGTGCATTCGCAGAATAGAAATGGGCTAAACTCGTCGCCTTGTGATATGCCAATGCCACTTCCACTGAATTGAAACACTCTACGTCTTTTGCACACTCGCAGAATAGAAAGGGGCTCAACACGTCGCTTTTTAGAATAACACTCTTACTCGATAAAATGGAGCCGTGGTGGCTCAGTGAGTTAGACGCTTGCTCGCTAATCTGAAGGTCCAGGGTTCAATCCCGGCATAGGTAGAGATAACACCTTCGGATTTTTCAACCGGTTTCAGTGATGTAGGTAAGAGGGGCTGACATGGAAAAAGCGTCTAGTCGTTTGAATGGGACAATAAACCGAGGCCCCGTGTGCTACAGGCTGTGCACGTTAAAGATCCCTCGACAGTTGGAAATCGAAAAAGAGCATGCCAATGGCGCTGTCCTGACAAAATTTCCCTCATTGCACCCTGCATGGTGTTGCCCGTCTTCATTAGCCCACATGGTGCAGAAAAGTAGGACGTAAAACTCCATTCATTTCATTTACTCGATAAAATGACCACTTATTTACCATAAAAATAAGAATCTTTTTGAAAAAAAAACAAATGAAACTGCCACCAGGGAGGGAACATCAACAAAATAGTAAGTCAAGTCGAATTTATCGCCCCAACGAGAGCAAATTTTGCCATTTTAATTATTTAGTAACAAGACAAAAGTCGTTCGAATTATTTCCATAGTATAAAAGAAACTTAACATGTGACGTGCTGAATTGTCACTTTTAGGTTTCCGCGATATTCAAATATGGCCTACCGCCTTAATTTTTGAATAAAAAGAACTGAACTCACCGGTTTGTTTGCGGAAATGGACGAAGTTTAGAATAAATCTGACCGCTTTAATTTCACTCGAGATCAAATTTCTGGGTTGGGAGGCAAGTGGATAAGTCGCGTGATGTAGATGTAGACGACAGTCATTTGGCACTTGTTGGGTGGAGAGGTTCTATCAGGGAAAATTCTCAGCTATTAAAATTCAGAGAAATTGCATTGAAAAAGTGATTGCGCGCAATAAAAAGGATTCCTCGTAGCCCAATTAATAAGGATTCTTGGTAAAGATGTATTTCGTTCGTTGCACACTGCATGCAGTTGTCGTTACCCATAAGCACAATCCGACGAGAGGGGGATTTTGCCAGGACAGTGAGTCTTGGTTTAAAGTGGAATGTCAAGGAGGTTTCTAAACACATTTTTCGGTCAACCTTTACAGTGCCCCTGAAAATGAAGTAGATGGGTATGGAATAATTACAATTTGACCTTTGAACCTGTTATATGCTTTCCTTGTCGTGCTGTATTGAGATGTGGTTAGAGGCAAATTGATGTAAATTGCCTCCTAAATGTCATTGCAGTAGTTATTTCATTAGTACCCTTGTATTTATAATACACATTTCAAACAATTAACAATTAAATCGTGTTTCAACGCCGAAGACAAGAAATTAGATGGGCTCAAAATAAGTTCTTGTATTTTACTAAAAGGAAACTTGTTTGGGGAGGAAAAATCACAGTATTAAGCTAAGATTCCATATACGCGTCATGTGGATCCGTCGTGCGTCATCCGTCATGCGTTAAAAATCGAAATGGTTGGTTTAAGAGGGTATGATTCCATATATGCAGAAGCGGTATCCGTCAAATGGTCTCCGTCATGCGTCAAAAAAATTGCCGGGTGTAGCGACTTTTCACGCATCCGGACGCCTTTCCGAGCTGGAGATCTCCCAAATGTGACGTATTTTGTGGGGATTCCCTGTCTTTTTTATGCACCAAAGCATCTATCTGTCTAGTCCGTGCATCAAATGAAAGATAACGCATACGTTTAACGCACATATGGGCCATTTATGTACGCATGACGCACCCGCATGACGCGTATATGGAATCTTAGCTTTACAGTTCAGTTCAGTAACTTCCCTTGCCCCCCTTTCAAAACTTATATGGACTCACTCCACTAAAACATTTTATGCAAATGATTGTGTGGAATCTAGTCCAGGCTATTTTGAGAAATCTTCTTTCTCTCTCCCTTTTGGGGTTTTTGCCTGCCTCTTTAGGGGTAATTTTTGGTCTAGATTTGGAATTTGATGTCTGAAATTGCATTATCTTTAAGATTTGGTGAGATGATGAGAGACCTAAAGATGGAAGACTCATTCTAAAAATAGTCGTTTTGTGAACTGCCAAACTCTAGCAGATGAGTATAACCGGTAGTAGTCTACTTTCAATTTGAGTAGCTCAAAATTTCCATGGTCATCATACATTGATTTTTTTTAGGAGACATTAAGGATTGGTTAGGCTTTCATTCGACATATTGGAAAGCTTTCAACGAGATTTCTTGAAAAAGTTGTAGAAGGTTGAATTTCTTGTTTTAACATGGTTGGAGATGGCAAATGAATTAGTGGAGTGAGTCCATATAATAATATTATTCTTACTATGGAGAAATTAAAATTGGTCTGAAAATCAATCACTGCCATTCTTTTCGTATTTTTCTCAAATATAATATGAATGAAAAATCATTAAATATAATTTTACATCGAAAGTTTTCTTATGTGACAATTTAGAAAATATTTAGGGATATTTTGCAATATAGCTCAAAATACGAAACTCTATCATAAATTTCGTTAGCTCCGCATGTTGACGTAAACAAAGATGGAAGGTGTTTTGTGGAAGTGGACCAACTATCTGTCAGGTAGGGCTAGTTTTTATAAATTTCACTGTCTCAGATATCATGTCGATGGTCCAGATTATTGCTACAGCAAGGTTTCTTTCGGATTACCACATAATTTTGATTTCCAGTCGTCTGGCATCCTAAAAATTAACGATTTATGACCAAATGCTGGTTTGTTTACATTTTTTCCAAAACAACACGGATCTGCTTCTTGCTTCACTGGGTCAGTAACAATGACGTGATCCAGCATGACTTGGCCTACTACAATGTTGTGAGCTTTGCCTACAGTAACAATAGGCACATCAACATGCTAAATATTGCTATAGGCTAATTTTTAAAAAAAAAAAAAGTACAATAATTACAGTCTAGTAACCTAATTTCGTGGAAACCTATTATTCGTGGATTTCCGGAAAGGATTAATAATTTACATGAGCGACCTTGCGCGACCCCCGCATTAGTTTGTTTTGATAAACATGGGTTTTCTGTACAATGTCAGCTAGTAGAATGAATCCAGTAGTTTCAAGCAAGGTAAAATGTATTAATGTATACTTTGACAAATACAAAATGGCGGATTTCAGTTATTACCAAACGTCACCATTTTTAATCGGCCGAATTTCCTTATAATCCACAGCTGTAATCGGAATTCTAAGTGTCGTCTGCTAGAATATATTCCAACGAATGAAGTCACGTGATCAACTAGCGGATTCCGTGTTAGCAGAAAATTTCTATGGAACACAAAGTGGACCATATTCTTATATTGTTTCAGTGACTTTTAGCAATAAATCACGCTACGTATCATATTTTGTCAGTCACTATTTTTTTTTTAAATCGTGGTTCTTTGAAGGAATTGTCACTAGTTATAATAAATTGATATTAAAGATAAATACTAAGAGAAGTTAATTATACCACCCGGTATCCATACAACGTGTTTTTCTCGACTTATTTATAGATCAAACATTGTACACGAAAATAGGTGACGCATTCTGCTGCCGTTGTCGAGTTGGTTGCTCATGAAATATGGGTCAAAGTGAAGGATTCATAAAGAAAATCGAAATAAACCAATTTCAATTATTTTGTAGAATATCTGAGGAAACATCTAAGACATAATTTTTTTTTTTCGTTTTTATAACCTTGACGAAATTCGGTGTTGAATCCTTATATCCACGAAAATAGGTTACACCTCTGTACATTTTGCAGTGACAGGCTGTAAATTTAATCTTTACAGATCTTCCTTTTAGTTTTTAACCTGTCCATTTTGATCTTTTTTCGATCAGCTTTTCCTTGTCTTTTAATATACAGTGATCTTTCTCAGATTATCCTTTTAGAACTGGGTTGACACGAATGATAAGAAAAACTGACTTCTCTAATGTTCATGAAAAAAAAAAGTGCATATGATAGGCTATAGCTGGGTGATATACTGATACCAGTAAGTCCAATATATGAATTTATGATCTATTGCCTGATTAAAGTGATACTACGTCTTAGAATGAACATAAAATTTAATTCTCAAGAATGGTCAATATGAGTATATATTCATCAGTGAACTTACCTGGTGTCATAAAGTTACAACAGAATCCCTGTAAAATCTGGAAAATTAGAAAATTCATAAAACTGAGTAATTATTGAAAAACGCTTAATCATAATATTAAGCGTTTTTCAATAGTTAATTGCATATTTATGGATAATTATGGAATTTGGATTTATCGGATTTTATAAGGATCCTGTTATGTTATTTATGACACCAGGTATATCTGCTGGCTCTCAATGGCCAAGTTTAAAATTCTTAAATTTTTATGTTTATTCTAAGACGTAGTATCACTTTAAAAGGGATATTTAGACGATTTTACATTCTTTTGAAATTTTCAGGTTGGCAGCCCCGTTGGTTCGTACTGGATAATGGTATTTTATCATATTATAAATCACAAGAAGATGTTAACAATGGTTGTAAAGGATCCATTAAAATGTCAGCTTGTGACATCTCAGGTTTGCTTGACTTTATTCTTGAATATCTTGGTGACCACTTGAAACCTCTTATACGCCATATTTGGTCATTTTGACTTTTTGGTACCGTTTGAAAGCTCGTAAAAGCGAGGATCTTGTGATCAAAACCTCTTAATCTTAGCTTGATTGTAAATAACTCAAAAACCACTAATTAAATAACACGTATATAAACAGTCAGATTTAAAACCTTGTAAAATATATTATTATACGAGGTTCAATGTTCCTTTTTCTGCGGATGAAAATGAAAAACCTTGTATACTGTATTATTATATGAGTTTTTGGTTCAATAGGCTTGTTAATATTTTTTGTTGGTGATATTTCGATGAGTTTCTTTACTTTGATTGAAGTCTCAATAAGATTCTTAGTCAATAAGGTACCGTATCTATCTAAAAAAAAAATTGGATGTGAAACTCTCTCTCATTTCAGTCCATCATTCAGACAGTACAAGACTGGACCTGATAATTCCTGGAGAACAGAGATATTATGTGAAAGCTGCTAACTATCAGGAGCGGCAGGCATGGTTAGTGGCACTTGGTTCCTCAAAGGCAGCGTTCAATAGTTCACAAAATAGACCGGAATCAGGTAAGATATTCCTGGAAGGAAACAATAGAAAATTTCAATGTTTTTTATAATTCATAATTAGCAAACAGTCATGTGAACTCTCTGAAAGGCATCCCAAGCTGACAAACCCAATAACCAAATAAATATTATGAGTTAGTTGACTTACTCAGTTATGACAAAATACATTATGATCTATGTGGGTTCATTGAAAGAGATGTCAAGTTAACACACCTGTAGCAGAGTGATATGAAGTGTTTCAATTGGTATGTTGTGTCCCTAATTATTTAAAGTGATACTACGTCTTAGAATTAACATAAAATTGAAGAATTTTAAACTTGGCGAATAAGATCCAGTAGATATACCTGGTGTCATAAATAACATAACAGGATCCTTATATAATCCGATAAATCAAAAAAACTTAGTAATTATCCATAAATATGCAATTAACTATTGAAAAACGCTAAATATCAAGATTAAGCATTTTTCAATAATTACTTAGTTTTATGAATTTTCCAATTTTCTAGATTTTACAGGGATTCTGTTGTAACTTTATGACACCCGGTAAGTTCACTGATGAATATATACTCATATTGACCATTTCGAGAACTTAGACGGAACCCTCCCACACTTGCTTTCTCTTCGATGGTAGAAATGGCCGTAGACATCTTCCATATAAAAATTCCATTCACACGCTCGCAGCAAAATAAGATGTTTTCGGGCCACTCTAAAAAAATTTGAATTTCTATCGTCATATTATATAGGCGGGGCTCCACCATGGCCTGTGACTCTTTCCTTTCAAAAAGCCTGATGCCACTATGCTACTGAGTTTTCAACTTGGTATTCCTTCCTGAAAGTAATCGTTTATGTGCTCTTAAATCTTAATCTTGATATACCTCTATCTTTTTCGTTTCTTTACATACATGCAACATCCAACTTTAACATTTTTGAGGCCGTTATGATTATATGATTATTGTTATGATTATACGCCCACATCTCTCTATGTGGACGTATATTGTCGGCACCCCTGTCGGTCCGTCAGTCCGTCCTTCAACATTTGCTTGTAAACGCTCTAAAAACTAGATTTTTTGATGGAATCAAATGAAATTCAGTATGTGTATACATATTCATAAAACGAAGATCAAGTTCATATTTGAGCTATTTTCAACTGTTAGAAGCAGAGTTATTGCCCTTGCCCCAAAATCTTGAATATGCTATTACTCTCTTAGTTTTCAACCGATTTTGATGAAACTTAAAACTTATTGGACCTAAATCGAAAGGTTTTTAGGCCTCTTACGTCAGTTTTGAGGAGTTATCGCCCTTTAACCTCTATACAGTAAGTGCTTCTATCAACATCAATTGCTCGTAAACACTCTAAAAACCAGAGTGTTTGAAGGAATCAAATGAAATTCGTTATGTGCATACATATTCATGAAACGAAGGTCTGTCGGTCCGTCAACATTTGCTTGTAAACGCTCTAAAAACTAGATTTTTTGATGGAATCAAATGAAATTCAGTATGTGTATACATATTCATAAAACAAAGATCAAGTTCGAATTTGAGCTATTTTCGACTGTTAGAAGCAGAGTTATTGCCTTTGTCCCAAAATCTTGAATATTTACCATCTGCATGTCGTGGTGGGCATATATGGCTGTGGTCCTCTATCTTTTTATGTTGTTTCTGACAGCCATCTGATGGTATATTGATTACATATATTGATTCACCTACACTAATTGCTGTGAATTAAAACTAATTAAAAGTCCCACTCAATAATTATAAATCAATTAAACTCTAGGTTGGTTTGATATCCCCTTGTTTGAAATTAGTCACAGTAATTTTTTCATTGTGATTAAATCACAAGAGACATTGGTTGCAATAAATTGAATACAAGCAAAGTAGATGCTTGGTAGATTGGTCAATGGTTTAATAGCCACATGGTAATTGGTCACTAGGAAATTTAGTTGAAATCCGGAAACCCCGATATCAGCACGCTTTTTACTGGGAACGGAATATTTACTATGTAAAAGTAATTGTTAATCTGGAGCTCTGGTTTCTGGTTCCGCACGCCAGTGATTGGGAACCAATTATCAAATTCTATAGTAATTAGTAATCATCATCCGGTCGCTTGTTACTGTGAGTTCTTCTAACTGGCTTCCGGATTAGCGTTATTTATGATGTCGCGTGATTGGTGTTTAATAAATCCTCATTATCAGATTAAGCAATTAATTTAATCATCACGTGTAAGCTATCTTTCGTTCAATCATACCTGAATACCATTTATCGTTCAGTTATACTTCAATGTCATCTTTAGTTCAGTCATACCTGAATACCATTTATCGTTCAGTTATACTTCAATGTCATTTTTCGTTCAATTATACCTGAAAACCATTTATCGTTCAGTTATACTTCAATGTCATCTTTAGTTCAATCATACCTGAATACCATTTAATGTTCAGTTATACTTCAATGTCATCTTTAATTCAGTCATACCTGAATACCATTTATCGTTCAGTTATACTTCAATGTCATCTTTAGTTCAGTCATACCTGAATACCATTTATCGTTCAGTTATACTTCAATGTCATCTTTCGTTCAATCATACCTGAATACCATTTATCGTTCAGTTATACTTCAATGTCATCTTTCGTTCAATCATACCTGAATACCATTTATCTTTCAGTTATACTTCAATGTCATCTTTCGTTCAAACATACCTGAATACCATTTATCTTTCAGTTATACTTCAATGTCATCTTTCGTTCAATCATACCTGAATACCATTTATCGTTCAGTTATACTTCAATGTCATCTTTCGTTCAGTCATACCTGAATTCTATTATTGATACGGACATATCAAACGTTAGCCTTACGAAATATATTGTTATTTGTGGTAAATTTAATGATCTTGTGTAAGCTATCTTTCATTCAGTAATACTCGAATTCACTTTTTCGTTCAGTCATACCCGAATTCCAACATTATCGCTACAATGATATGGCACGGTAATTTATGTTTATATATTAGTGAATCCTAATTTTAAGGAATGATTATGTTATGATCATGCTATGATAGTGAAATAAAATGAAAAAATTATAAATAATCGTGGTTCTTTACGATGTATTGGCCCTATAAAGTACACACATGTCTATCACATGTTGCGTACGTGATATTTGACAGGTGTCCTTATGGGAAGGGATATAACTCTAGTTATGAAATGGCATGTTTCAACTATCCGGATTCGTTAAACTGCACGATTTTATCGGGAACTGGAATGTGCGGATAAACGAGGCTCCACTGTAATTCGTTCATTTTGGTAAATATGTGAAAAGGGCACAGGCAACTTTGTCACAAGGTAAATTGGTAACTGATAGCGATATTATTTCAGCAAACTTGGTTGCAGTAATTCGACCTAATGCAAAATTATTGGATGGCCGTTTATTAGGTTATTTATGTAAGAAAAGGAATTATACGAGTTGGATTGATTTTTTAAGGCAATAGAATTGCCATCCATCTTATAACATGGACAATTAAAGGGGGAAATGGCAAAACAAACCATTATTAACTTATTTGGAATTGAGCAAACAATGTATTAAATTGTAGCAGCTTTGATGATTGTTTTTACCTCTGTGTATAGAGAGTCACATTTTAGATATGCAGATGTGTGCATGTATTGTAAAATTTTGCAGACAGTGTGGCATGGTTGTATGAAAAGTCAAAAAAAAGTTTTCTGAATATTGAGGAAAAGTGCTTTCTGTTTACGAAATATTATATCAACTGTTTTTAAATAGAAAAAGGATTAACAAATCATGGGTGACCGCTTGAAACCTTGTAAATGCCATATTTGGTCATTTGGACTTTTTGGTACCGTTCGAAAGCTCGTAAAAGCGCGGATCTTGTGATCAAAACCTCGTATTCTTAGCTTGATTGTAAATAACTCAAAAAGCACTAATTAAATAACACGTATATAAACAGTCAGATTTAAAACCTCGTAAAATATATTATTATACGAGGTTCAATGTTCTTTTTTCTACAGATGAAAATGAAAAACCTTGTATACTGTATTATTATACGAGTTTTTGGTTCAATAGGCCGGAGATTTCAAATTGTTATACGAGGTTTATATTTTTAAAGAATGAAAACCACGTATAGCGGTAAAAAAAATAATAAAAAAGATTTTAACAAAATACGCGTACTAATAGTTTTTTGCGTTTTTCTCGAAAAGTAATTCTGCGTCATATATCGTTATACGAGGCTTAAAACGGTCACCTACGATATTTAACACAATGTAATAAGTTTCATGGAGAGACAAAAGAGTTTGTGAAGAATAAAAGCTTCAACCTTTTTGGAACTGTTTTCTACGAAAGCCTTTTAGGCCCATCTCAAAAAAAAAAAAAAATTTTATTTTATTTTTCTGATTGTATTTTGCACAATTCAGATTCTACAACTCGAAATTTCGAATTCCATGAGTCAAAATTTCGGATTTCACAAGTTGAAATTTCGGATTCCAGAAGTCACAATTTCGGATTCCACAAGTTGAAATTTCAGATTTCACAATTTTTGGAAATTTGGAACGGGCCTAAAAGTCTTTCGTAGTTTCCCAACAATTAATGTAAAAAATATAATTGAACTCTTAAAGGTGAAAGCCAGTCTTAGAGTGCAATATCTGTAAAAATAACAGTGACTCATTGAAAATTATTGAAGTTGAATTCACAATTGCTAAGTGGCATCAGGAGAAACTACCCTTTGAAATCATGAGTGTCAAGAGTGGAAACAAATGTGAAATAATGCATCAAAGTTCAACGGGAGAAAATTCTAATTCCGGAGTTTATGGGGATGAACAGACAGATTTGAGTCAGTGGGATATCATCCCTGATGTTTTTGTGGAACAGTTTTCGTCTGAAGCAGACGCGAAAGAGTCGAATTGTAAAAATATCTGTGATCAAGAGCCAAAGATGGAATACTGCAGAACTGATAATGAACCATCAAATGAAGTGGAAGCAAGTCCAGATGGTGAAAGAGCTTCAGAATCAAAGATGACCAGCGAAGAGAACTCGGATAATGTTCTTGATGAACAGATGAAAGGAACTCTATGTTCAGAAATGGAAGCAGAAGATGAAGAACCAAAGATACAATGCTGCAGAACTGATAATGAACTGTCAAATGAAGTGGAAGCAAGCTCAGATGATGTTCTCAATGAACATATCAAGGTGACTCCATGTTCCAAAATTGACCATGAAGAAAAATGTTCAAATAATGAAAAAGACACACAACCAGACCGGCTTAAAAAAGAAACAGAAGACAAAGCAGAAAATGTCTGTCTTGGTCAGACGAAGATGTCACCGAGTTCCAAAATCGACGAAGAAAATATCTATGAAGAGGATTCAAAGTTAATCAAAATGGCTGAAGTTGAAAATACCTTGTCTGTACAGTGGATGGGAATTGAAACAGCTGTGGACAACAATGTTGTTGGAGGAGTGTCAGATCTTAATGAAGCATATCAAGATGATGAATATGTTTGTGTTGAAATGGAAGAAGCCACATCAAAAGATTTAGAAGGCAAGTCTAAAACCATGGAGAAAACAATAGAAGATAATGCCATGCCACTGTACGGTTCAAACTGATATTTGAAATAACACCAAAAATGATATATCATCGAAGTGGACTCGAACCGTTTATTCCTTGGAATAGCCTAATCTTGCTGTTATTTATCCTCTGATAGCTCTAAAGCAGGCCTGGGTAACCTTTTTCCGCAATGGAGGGCCACATTTGGGGGATGCGAGAAGGCCGTGGGCCACGTAACAAACCATCAATGAATCATGGGATTAACAATGAGAAACATGCAATTTTTTAAAGTCATTTATTCAATAACGTATTTCAATGTGTATTTCAAATAACAGACATATTTGACGTAAAATCACTGTTTCACTCTTCGTTAACCTCGATTGGTTAGATTCATTTTGACGTCATACTTTGATAAAACGGGTCCCGATATCAGAATAGGCAGCGACAATCTGCTGGCCACAGAGACAGTGACAAGAGCAAAAGAACCATTTGCTTGCGGGCCGCATTTCAAATTTTACACGACGCGAGCCGCACGAAATCGCAGTTGGCCCTCGGGCCGTAGGTTGCACAGGCCTGCACTAAAGGCATCCCTTTCAGAGAGTCCACATATCTAATAACTTTTATTGGATATTTGGGTTTCTATCTTTTCACGTCTTACATAGAGTTCATCAGTTCGCATAGCCAGTGATAGCTATGTTTTGACACATAAGTTTTGTTATGGAGCTCTTTCAGAGAGTCTACATAGCTCATAGTGTTTTTTGGTTATTGGGTTTAGTATGTCTACATTTCATTACATTACTTTTGGTCTTTGATATCTGGATAATCCAAAAACCACTGTCAGTGTCTTGTATTTTCAGGAGAGATGTCTCCAGATATTATCAAATACAAGAAATCAGAACTACGATTGTACTGTGATCTAATGATGCAACAGGTCCATAGCGTGAAAGAAATTGCTACAGTGGAGGGTGGTACCATCAATCAAGAGGTGGGTCTTAGAATTTGATTGACAGACATCTTATTTGTATAAAAGCGTTCAACAAATTTGATTTCCACTGTCATCAAAGATCGACGTTATCGCTATTTTAACGTCCTTGCACATCAGCGACAAAATGGCGGCATTCAACAAAGCCATGCTATTAAGCTAGTGTTTATATTAACTAGTTCTAATTACTTTCCAGATTTTGTTTTATTTCCTCTGGATCCAAAGAAATTCGTGGGCCTAGAGTTTGTTTGGACTGATAAGTCGGCTATGCCGTTTTCTGCCACCTTTGACGTCATGACATTGACGCTGTTAGCCAAAATTCTTGCATCTGATTGGATAAGCTAATTGCGCGAAAAATTCTGTCGTGTAAAAGTAGAACCTATTCCTACTTCTTTTGCGATCGTCGTGACCAACATTTTTCGCTGCAAATTCTAGTACTTCGTATCAATATGCATGCGCCTGTTCGAAAAAATCTCTTCGTGCGAAAAAAATAGCCCTGTGGAAAACAGCCTTAAGAGGTGAGTCTTTCCCTCATTGCACACTAAGTTAATATGAGATAAGCATTAATTGGAAATAGAAAAAAAGTTTGCTTATATGGCTATCATGACTAAATTTCTCTTAATGCCAGTGTCATGTACCAAAGTACCAAAAATACCACAACATTAAGTAACCAAAAAATGTTCTTCTCTTTCAGAAACTAACAGAAGCATCTCATCTGTTAGGGGCTACTTGTGACACATTCATCCAGACGTTAGAAGACTGTATGAATTTAGTCAGTACCATGCCAGTCTATGAAATGCCTCATCAACACATTATGGATTCAGCCATTCCATTATCTCCTGCCCATGGACGCATCAAGAGGGTAATTTTTTGAGTTATTGCCCTTGATTTATAAAAAACGCGTCAAAATTTGTTTGTGAATACAATAGAGACTACAGTTTTCATCCGATTTAAATGAAATTTGGTATGGAGATCTTAGTAAAGATTAAATTTGACAATTTTTCGATCAACTAAATTTGAGTTATTGCCCTTGAATAGTAAAAATCATCAAAATTTGTTGGTGATAGAGGTGACAGTTTATGTCAGAATTTTATTAAATAATGTGTGTTTGTTAAAATCAACAATATCTTACACAAATTAGATTTTTGGTATGATTTGACACAGATAGGTGACTGCCCTTGATATACTGAAAATGTATCAGGAAAGTGGGCGTATCGTGCTAGCCAACCACTTGTTATATTCTTTAAGATAATAATGATGATACATCTTGTTTTATTGATGAGTCAGACGAGATCTTGACCTTTATACACATGTTTAATTGGTCAATGATTTGGGTCTTGATCAATAAGGCTCAAAATATTGTGAAAAAGTGACTTTGAAAAGATTGCTTTTTCTGTCTATCATGTACGTACATCACACGATAGGTGGTTGGTCAAATTGAATTACAATGTAGAAAGCATATGGGGCTATGTGTCCTTAATATTAAGAATATTAGAAAATTTGGGAGCCGCGGTGGCTCAGTGAGTTAGACGCTTGCTCGCTAATCTGAAGGTCCAGGGTTCAATCCCAGCATAGGTCGAGATAATACCTTCGGATTTTTCAACCAGGTTTGCCCCTGTCAGTGATGCAGGTAAGAGGAACTGACATGGAAAAAGCGTCTAGTCGTTCAGATGGGACAATAAACCGAGGCCCCGTGTACTACAGGCTGTGCACGTTAAAGATCCCTCGACAGTTGGAAATCGAAAAAGAGCAGGCTAATGCCGCTGTCCTGGTAAAATTTCCCTCATTGCACCCTACATAACTTTGCCTGTCTTCATTAGCCCACATGGTGCAGAAAAGTAGGACGTAAAACTCCATTCATTTCATTTCATTTTTTATTAGAAAAATTAAGTAAAAGTAAAATTCTATTTTTAGACTAGTTCCAACAAGTCGCAGGTCTCTAGAGCCAACTCTGTCGAAAAGTAAGTACATTTTCGGTTTTTTATTTTTAAACGAAATGCGATGGAGTTTTTATAACCTACCATTTTTTTCCTGATTGAGTTGAGGAATATGACCAGCTAGGACTGTAATCTTTGAAAATCTGATTAATCATTTACGATAAATTTTCTAAGCGTTTATGTACCATGAGTTCAAATCCTCTCCAAGGTAAGAAAATTCTGACACCACAGCCAGTGCTTCCAAAAGTAGGCCCTCAAACATGAAATTATGTATTAGTAAACAACTTATTCTTTGACCTCTAACTCCCTTCTGATTACTTTTCAGGCAAATGTCTAATAGAAGATCATCATCCAGTTCTACAGAGGGTATAATACCAACTCCATCGCCACGACAACGCACGCATTCAGACAGTTCTCATTCCGATACTCCTGGTCCTGAACATTCCATGAACGGACCGGTCCGAAATCGTCCGTTATTAAAGGAAGAAGATGCCATTCCTGAACAGCCAGTTGAAATTGTAGTCACCAAGGTAGATAACTCTGTCCAGTCCTCAACATCCAAACAGACGGTCAGCTCTGAAGATCTTGATTCACCAGAAGATTTCCAAGATGCCATCGATTCCAAAATCCCGACATTTTTTTCTACTTTAAACCAAAGGTAACATTTATAAAGTGGAATAGTGGCAGCCGTTTTATTGTAGGTTTTGATTATCTCACACTCCAACTCAAAGTTAGATTGATGTCTGCTAAATGATGCAGGGAGCCGCGGTGGGTCAGAAGGTCCAGGGTTCAATCCCGGCTTAGGTCGAGATAATACCTTCTGATTTTTCAACCTGGTTTCCCCCTGTCAGTGATGCAGGTAAGAGGGGCTGACATGGAAAAAGCGTCTAGGGAGAATGCTGCTGTCCTATCTAAACTTTAGACTCTAAAGTATCATCTTACACTGCATGGCATGAATTTTTTTTTCAGTTTTACGCCAGAAGACGTAATGAGTCCAGATGGTATTATAGTATCATTATTTCTTGAAGCCTGTCACAATATTCTACCCTTATTTGGTATGTTTATGTTTGAAATGCTTAAGGGGTTGGTGTAATCCATATTCTTGATGTGTAAATGTCCATATATAAAGTCTGGATAAACTAAAAAAGACTTTTTGACCTTTCTTGAACGGTCACTCATTGGAATTCTGCTGGTAATTCTCTTCTAATTTAGCTAATTATGAATTAATTATGGACATGTGAGACAAACTGGTATTTTTCCAAGTCATTAGAACACCTCTACTTTCTATTCATATAAGTATTAGCATTTTCATTTTCATAAATGAAAACAAGGGAACCCATCTTTAAGTTATTAAATTAATTCATGATATAATATGTAATGAATTGATCATAATATTATGGGATAGATTATGATACTTGTTATTTTTTGAGTAGATAAATTAAACAGTACAGCGTTCGCCCCTGTTAAAATGGATTTTACAGGCAATATAAGAGTAAGTAGCATTTCTTACTGATGTGATTTCACCTTTCCTCAAACCCAGCAAAAGAGTGGCATCAGGTGTTCAAGAATTAATCAGAATTAATGACTAAAATATTTTTTTGTTAAGGGTCAAGGGTTAACTTACTTGCTCATGTACCCTTTAATTATTCAAAAAGCTCATCTCATTTAACAAGGGCAATAACTCTTCTATGGATTTCAAGACTTAATTTCTTGTCAAAAACAGCATAGATGAACTAAGTTGATTTTGTCATTTCAGAAAATACGACAAAAATATTCCAGTAAACCTGAAGAGTTCACAACCCTACAGAGAATTGTCTGCAATGAAATAAAAGCTAATCAACACACCAGTTCTAATTCAGCCACCGTGGCTATCTTATGGTTAAATAGGTAAGAGGAAAGAAACTACTTATTTTCATGGGGATCTTCTCTACCAGCTGGTCCTTGGCCAAACCTAATGGCACTGATCTTTCCTTGATTATCTGTACCTTATAGCCGGGCCTGTTGGAATAATGACCAGTTTCACGCTTACTGAGATAAGAACCCACGACCACCATTTTTTTTTTTTCTCTTAAAATTGTCCATCATTATTTTCAGAGGTTTGGAATTTATCCGTGAAATTTTGAGGGAAGTAAACAGCGGGGAAATGGACCTATCAAAATGTGCGTATGGAGCATATGACAGAACATTGAAACCCTACCATGGCTGGGTTGTTCGTGGAATATTTGCTGTAAGTTTATTGTTTGCTGTTTTATAGACTTAGTTTATAGACTTAGTTTAGAGACTTAGTTTATAGAATTAGTTTATGGACTAAGTTTATAGACTTAGTTTTTAGACTTAGTTTATAGACTAAGTTCATAGACTAAGTTTATAGACTTAGTTTATAGAATTAGTTTATGGACTAAGTTTATAGACTTAGTTTATAGACTTAGTTTTTAGACTTAGTTTATAGACTTAGTTGTTTATAGATTTAGTTTATAGACTTAGTTTATAGACTTAGTTTATGGACTTAGTTTATGGACTTAATTTATAGACTCAGTTTATAGATTTAGTTTATAGACTTAGTTTATAGACTTAGTTTATAGACTTAGTTTATAGACTTAGTTTATAGACTTAGTTTATGGACTTAGTTTATGGACTTAGTTTATAGACTTAGTTTATAGATTTAGTTTATAGACTTAGTTTATAGACTTAGTTTATAGACTTAGTTTATAGACTTAGTTTATGGACTTAGTTTATGGACTTAGTTTATAGACTTAGTTTATGGACTTAGTTTATAGACTTAGTTGTTTATAGATTTAGTTTTTTATAGACTTAGTTTCTTATAGACTTAGTTTATAGACTTAGTTTATAGACTTAGTTTATAGACTTAGTTGTTTATGGACTTAGTTTATAGACTAAGTTTATAGACTAGTTTATAGTAAGGTATGTTGATATAATTAGCTAAGAGCTTAATGAATTACTCTTAGGGAGAGTCATTTCCAACAGAAGAGTCTTTGGCCTATTATATAATAGTGCAATAAAACACCAAACAAATTTTTTTGGTGTGGACTCTCTGAGAGGGAGGCAGATTGGATAAAAGCCAATATCAGATGTGTGAACTCTCTGAAAACTATACCTATTTGACTCAAGAGCTAAAAACTACGGAATTGCCTTTGTGGGTTTTGTCACTTTTTTAAAAATTTTTTAATGCTGTTTGAAAGGAAGTAGTCAGACAAGTATTTAAAGTCGAAAAGAGAAGTGAAATTGTCTCCCTTTAAAGCCAATTACCTTGAGAAATTTGTTATTTTTAATATTTGTTACTTTTCAGGTTGCTGTGAAAGCTTTACCTTATCGGGATGATTTTCTGACCCATCTAGCTGTAACAGACTGTGACATAAAAAGTCCAATATTCATTCATTCCTTACAAGAAGATATTGAAGATTACGTGAAAAACCTGGACCAAACTATTCAAGTTATTCACCAGTTTTATAAGGACCATGATTTGAATAATGAAGATCCAATTTAGAGGGTGGTTTTGCCTTTAGATGAACACAATCTGGTCTCTGTTTCACAAAAACTTTTATCAAAATTTATCGCATGACTTATGACTTACGCAAAATATTAAGGGCAACAGGATCACCATTTACAAAAAATATCTTGTGATCAAAATTGTGGTCAAAATTAAGAATTACAAAACAAAAGCTTTTTCTGGTTTTTTTGAAAAAAGAAAATCCTGGAAACCTGCTATATGAAACTTGATGAAGCTGTTATCTGAAACTTGATGAAGCTGTTATATCAAGCTGTTATCTGAAACTTGATGATTAAGCTATTATCTAGCTTGATGAAGCTGTTATATGAAACTTGATGAAGCTGTTATCTGAAACTTGATGAAGCTGTTATATCAAGCTGTTATCTGAAACTTGATGAAGCTGTTATATCAAGCTGTTATCTGAAACTTGATAATTAAGCTATTATCTAGCTTGATGAAGCTGTTATATGAAACTTGATGAAGCGGTTATCTGAAACTTGATGAAGCTGTAATATCAAGCTGTTATCTGAAACTTGATGAAGCTGTTATCTGAAACTTGAGGAAGCTGTTATATGAAACTTGATAAAGCTGTTATCTGAAACTTGATGAAGCTGTTATATCAAGCTGTTATCTGAAACTTGATGAAGCTGTTATCTGAAACTTGATGAAGCTGTTATATGAAACTTGATAAAGCTGTTATCCAATGATCATGGAGCTGTTATCTCAAAATTAATGAAGCTGTTATCTCAAACTTCATGAAGCTGTTACCTCAAACTTAATGAAGCTGTTATCTCAAACTTGATGAAGCTGTTATCTCAAACTTGATGAAGCTGTTATCTCAAACTAGATGAAGCTGTTATCGGAAACTTGATGAAGCTGTTATCTGAAACTTGATGAAGCTGTTATATGAAACTTGATAAAGCTGTTATCCAATGATCATGGAGCTGTTATCTCAAACTTCATGAAGCTGTTACCTCAAACTTAATGAAGTTGTTATTTCAAACTTGATGAAGCTGTTATCTCAAACTTGATGAAGCTGTTATCTCAAACTAGATGAAGCTGTTATCGGAAACTTGATGAAGCTGTTATCTCAAACTTGAAAAAGCTGTTATCTCAAACTTGATGAAGCTGTTATCTCAAACTAGATGAAGCTGTTATCGGAAACTTGATGAAGCTGTTATCGGAAACTTAATGAAGCTGTTATCGGAAACTTGATGAAGCTGTTATCTCAAACTTAATGAAGCTGTTATCTCAAACTCATTGTTTATTAAGGTCACACAGTATTTCTTCACCAAGTTTCTATTGGAATTGTATCTCTGAAATTGAAACCCTAATACCCCTTTTACACTCGGCTCTGATAAAATGGGCCAGGCCCTGATTGGTGCCGGCCCACTTCAATTTTACTAGTGTAAAACGAATGCGTGCCTAGCTCTGTTTAAAAATTCTTCTGCGCATGTGCAGGGTTTACAACTTCCGTATTGGCGGCCATTATAATTATTGTTATTGTCCGCCATTTTGACTCCTCGTGGACTTTTTATCTTTTTAATTAGAGAACGCACGCTTATTTCTGTTTAAAGCGGGCCAGGCCCAGATCACAGAACGCCAGTGTAAACAGACGTTTTGATCAGAGCCAGGCACCGATCAGGGCCAGGCTCTCTTTATCGGGGCCTAGTGTAAAAGGGGTATAAGAAGGACTCAGATACCTACATCTGGCAGAATCTAAGAACAACTTAATTTCAACAACTGATTGTAACTGGTGATTTGGTCCCAGTACAAATTTGCAATGGCCGCAAGGCGCCATTAGCTGATTATGTCGTTGGTAATTTCAGTGGGTATTTCAATCCAAAGGTATACTATCTTGACCTATGTTGAGATTGAATCCTGGCCATGTATTCTCTAAAATGATCTTAGGGCTAGGATGTCCTAGGTTCCTATCTTCTAACATTGATTCTAGGACATTCTAGCGCTAAGATCGTTTCGAGAATACCTGGCCTTGACCTGTATGCAAGCGATCTAGCATCTATCTCTGTCACCTCAATTACTTGTCACAGCTGAGCTCTAAAGACTGTTATTATTTGTATATAATGTGGTCACAGTCGCGGTCAATATTGTATATCCTGGTATATTCATGGTCAATGATGCAATGTCCATTTCAGGTGATGTTTCACCATCTTGGGACTTATTTTGGGAATCGAATTCTTTAAAGTGATACTACGTCCTAGAATGAACATAAAATTTAAGTTCTCGAAATGGTCAATATGAGTATATATTCATCAGTGAACTTACCTGGTGTCATAAAGTTACAACAGAATCCCTGTAAAATCTAGAAAATTGGAAAATTCATAACAACTAAGTAATTATTGAAAAACGCTTGATCTTGATATTAAACGTTTTTCAATAGTTAATTGCATATTTATGGATAATTACTAAGTTTTTTGGATTTATCAGATTATATAAGGATCCTGTTATGTTATTTATGACACCAGGTATATCTACTGGCTCTTATTGGCCAAGTTTAAAATTCTTCAATTTTATGTTAACTCTAAGACGTAGTATCACTTTAACTTGTGGCTGGTGAGCTAGCATCTAAGTCATGGCTGCCTCAGTTACTTGTTATTGCTGTAATGGTTGTTATTATTTGTATATTATGTGGTCACAGTATTGTATATAAGAGGTATATTATTAATAATGTAATTAATTTATGATGATTATTATGGGAAGCCCGGTATATTTTTACTTGATTATTATCGATTCAGTATTTAAAAGTTTTTAATACGCCTGCACATAATGTTGACACTTACTGTGTGTCTGGATATCTGTCCGTCTGTCTTTAAATTGTGAACAGACTACAGTTAAAGATGGGTTTCCTTATATTTTAGTGTCAAATTAAGCAAACTATTTGATTAATTGGTGTTTCTAATGAATTATCATGTATTCTTAATCATATCATTATGTTCTTATTGCATATAATTAAGAGTTTTAACCAATCATAAATGTCCATGTATGTACAGTCTGGATAAACAAAAAAATAATTTAGACCTTTCTTGATCGGTCACTCATTGGAATTCTGCTGGTAATTCTCTTCTAATTTAGCTAATTATGAATTAATTATGGACATGTGAGACAAACTCATGTCATTAGAACACCTCTACTTTCATTTCATATAAGTATTAGCATTTTCATTTTCTTAAATAAAAACAAGGGAACCCATCTTTAAGATAGAATTTTGAGGAAACTTTCTGCTTTTAAAAATAGGTGCAATGTCAAATGCATTTGAGTTTGTTGATTCTGCATTACATTCTGTTTGGTTATTGCCAAGCAATTAGCTAATATAAGAGAAATTGATGAATTTTTCTAGAAATGGCTACTATATGTGACTTCCAATCAAACAATTATTATCTATTGCAAAGTAAAAAGTTTTTAAATTTTCTTTTATTATTTTCATGAGTATAACAGTGTCAAAATATTACTATTCAGCTAAGATTTCATATACGCGTCATGCATCATCCGTCGTGCGTTAAAAATCGAAATGGTTGGTTTAAGAGGGTATGATTCCATATATGCAGATGCGGTATCCGTCAAATGGTCTCCGTCATGCGTCAAAAAAAAAACCACTGGTGTAGCGATTTTTTACACATCCGGCCGCCTTTCCGCGCCGAGATCTCCCAAACGTGACGTATTTTGTGGGGATTCCCTGTTTTTTTTATGCACCAAAGCATCCATCTGTCTAGAAGTGCGTGCGTCAAAAGAAAGATAACGCATACGTTTAAAGCACATATGGAATCATATTTGACGCATGACGGATCCGCAAGTGCCATTTATGTCTGCATGACGCGTATATGGAATCTTAGCTTTACTCTTAGAATGTTTTTGCGTTGATAAAAATAAAAACATAAGCACACATTATATCTTCAAAATTTGTTTTTACAGAGGCCCATTTTCAGTCAAAATTTGTGACTTTTTGGGATTGAAATTTCTAGGAAGGAAATGTGTTACTTTTCAATATAAACTAAGACTAACAGTACTAATTTGATGCTGATATTCCAATTCTCATAAAAATAACAAAAAAAATTCAAAAATTTTTTTACTTTTTTTCTGTCTTAAAATTTTAAAAAGTGAACATTCCAGAAATGTTTATGAGGACCAAACAAGTGTATGTGCTATCTTCATTACAAAAAATGAGAGCTCTCATTAAATACTACGGAGCCCCTAAGGTGCAATTTTCAATACTTTTATAAAATATTTTGTTTTAACAAAATAATTAATTTGTTTAAATGAAATAAAAAATGTAATTCGTTTAAAAGAAATGAGTAATTCGTTTAAACGAAATGAGTAATTCGTTTAAACGAAATGAGTAATTCGTTTAAACGAAATGAGTAATTCGTTTAAAAGAAATGAGTAATTCGTTTAAAAGAAATGAGTAATTCGTTTAAAAGAAATGAGTAATTCGTTTAAATGAAATATGTGACGTTATTTCATTTAAAAGAATTAGTTATTTCGTAATAGCTAAATAACTAATTTGTTAAAACAAAATATTTTATAAAAGTATGGAAAATTGCACCTAAGGGGGTCCATAAGACACAAATCCACAGGTTTTTTATTTTACATTATTGTAAATAGCTGGAGCAGTCCTATATTTCAAATATAAATCAAATATAACTTATTTGCTAATAGCTTTGGCGAAACCTGTCCCATTGTCAGAATTTGTCACTATTAGCTTCATGGTAATTCTTCTTTCAAACTTTAAAGTTTTATGATCATTTTAAAGTGATACTACGTCTTAGAATTAACATAAAATTGAAGAATTTTAAACTTGGGCCAATAAGAGTCAGTAGATATACCTGGTGTCATAAATAACATAACAGGATCCTTATATAATCCGATAAATCCAAAAAACATAATAATTATCCATAAATATGCAATTAACTATTGAAAAACGCTTAATATTAAGATTAAGCGTTTTTCAATAATTACTTAGTTTTATGAATTTTCCAATTTTCTAGATTTTACAGGGATTCTGTTGTAACTTTATGACACCAGGTAAGTTCACTAATGAATATATACTCATATTGACCATTCTTGAGAATAAAATTTTATGTTCATTCTAAGACATAGTATCACTTTAAGTGCTGGTCTTTTCATTTTGCTCTCTTCAGGGTGTCATGAGTTTTCAAAATCCATCCCTTGCTGTAACAAGCAGATATTTCTGTCATTGATAAAGTGATCTGTAGATAGGGTTAATATGAAACCTATATATTATAAATTGTGCAAATTAGAGGATGATTCAAAACAAAAACACGACCAGTCTATTTTATTATGGGGTAGTTTAGGTAGTAATAAACTATGAATAAGGCTTGTATTGAAACAATAGCTACTATTTATTCTACCTCGTATAACAAGTGGTTGCCTAGCAAGATACGCCCACTTTCCTGATACATTTTCAGTATATCAAGGGCAGTCACCTATCTGTGTCAAATCATACCAAAAATCTAATTTGTGCAAGATATTGTTGATTTAAACAAACTCAGTCACCTCTATCGCTAAGAAATTTTGATGTGCTTTTACTAAGTCATGGGCAATAACTCAAATTCCGTTGATTGAAAAATCGTCAAATTTAATCTTGACTAAGATCTCATCATTATAAATGATCATACCAAATTTCATTTAAATCGAATGAAAACTGTAGTCTCTTTCACGTTCACAAGCCAATTTTGACACGTTTTGGCTAAGTCAAGGGCAATTTCTCAAAAACCGTTCATCGAAAAATCGTGAAAATCGAACTTGTCCAAGATATCATGAATATAAATGATCACACCAAATTTCATTGAAATCAGATGAAAACTGTAGTCTCTATCGCCTCACAAGCCAATTTTGGCTAAGTCAAGGGCAATAACTCAAAAACCGTTCATCGAAAAATCGTCAAATTAGAACTTGTCCAAGATCTCATTATGAATATTCACACCAAATTTCATTGAAATTGGATAAAAACTGTAGTCTCTATTGTGTTCACAATCAAATTTTGACGCGTTTTTTATAAATCAAGGGCAATAATTCATCAATATAAATGATCACACCAAATTTCATTTGAATCAGATGAAAACTGTTGTCTCTTTTGCGTTCACAAGCCAATTGTGGACAGACGGACATGGGCGTATAAAAATAGACCAAGTCTTGTTTATGTGTGGTACCTTCTATGATGTGCTCACTTATCTCTGTTCGACTAGTTCAGACTTTGTTAATATTTTGTTATGTTTTTGTTGATTGTGATATTTTTTGTGGAATAGAAAGATGTTATGTAAAATTGTGGAATAAACATAAATAAAGTGGAAAAAATCAGTGACTTTTTTTGGGGGTTTGTCAACTAAGTAGACCTATGCTTTAAGCCTTTCAAAGAGTCCATGGTATTTGGGTTTGTCAATTTATAATCCCTTCCAGAGAGTCCTCATTGCTAATATTGACTATTTGATATTAGGATCGTAACTTTGTCACACTTTCGGGGGGCAGCGGTGGCTCAGTGAGTTAGACGTTTGCTCACTAACCTGAAGGTCCAGGGTTCAATCCCAGCATAGGTCGAGATAATACCTTCAGATTTTTCAACCCGGTTTTCCCGTCAGTGATGCAGGTACGAGGGGCTGACATGGAAAAAGCGTCTAGTTGTTCAGATGGGACAATAAACCGAGACCCTGTGTGCTACAGGCTCTGCACATTAAAGATCCCTCGACAGTTGGAAATTGGAAAAGAGCAGACTAATGTTGCTGTCCTGGCATAATTTCCTTCACTGCACCCTGCATGGCATTGCCCGTCTTCATTAGCCCACATGGTGCAGAAAGTAAAACTCCATTCATTTCATTTCATTTTGCCAAACTTCAGAGTCCATATAGCCAATGAGCATGGTTTCAAATACCCCTTAAGAAGTTCTTGGATTTTAATCACAAAAATTAAAAATAATTTTAAAAAAAATTAATGATAGCTTTAAGAATGTTACATTAATCATTTTTGTGATCTCACGGTAGCTTTAAGAAATCGCTGTCTGGGAACTACTTTCTTTAGGATTTTTTTTAATCCATGGGCAATTTATTTTTCTTTTCTGCAAACTATTTAGTCGAATTACAATGTTTAATATTTCCAATATATCTGTTACAAATCTTTCAACTAAATTTCGGATGAAATGGCTTGTGTATTGATGTCAATTTGGCAGAAGATCTACATTTTTATACCGGAAGTCGTAGTATTATTTTCAGTTGTGAGAAGGCAAACTATTTCCGCTCATTGAATAGGCTGGAAAGTGCAACTTGTCTGCTGTAAACTTTGGTAATGTTACAAACAATTAATGCATGAATCTTCACAGATCTCAGCTGTACATATCTATCAACATCTTGCACTTGAGACACAAACAGAAAACAGCTATTTTAAGTTTTGTTCATACTCAATATATATGAATAATATGAAGGCCCCCGCCCCCCCCCCTTCACTTGCCTTTCGATTTTTTTTAGACTTCTTGTAGGCCTACAGTTGTAGTTTTATAGATCGTTGTAAACTTTTACCATTAGAGTTTTATGATATAATCCCTCTCTTTTTGTCACTGCCTTAGCCCACCGTTAGGCCTATATCTTAACAAATATTTTCAGAATACCTTTTGAAGGAAGTTGAGCTAAGCTACTTACACAACTTCAGATATGCAAATGGTTTTTAGTTATTTTGCAAAATAGAAGACAGTGTACAATGCCTGCTGACAAAGTCAAGAAAGCATCTCCTGCACAAAAAACTAAGGTAGATATATTGGCATATTAGCCACAGAAGTAAAAATATCATTGCCTTTGCCAGATTGATAAATGTCAATATTACCTTGTTAGTAGAGCAGACAAGAGAATTGACATGCTAAAAGCTCTGGCAGTTCAGATGAGACATTAAACCAAATACATATGTGTTAAAGGATTGTTCAACCAGATTGAGGAATGTTCATTTTCGATGACTTTTTTGTTGTTCTTAGACTTTAAAGATGGGTTCCCTTATTTTATTTAAAAAAATGAAAAACATAATAATTACGGTATATGAATAGAAAGTAGAGGTGCTCTAATGACTTTCAAAAATACCAGTTCGTCTCACATATCCATAATTAATTCATAATTAGCTAAATTAGAAGAGAAATACCAGCAGAATTCCAATGAGGGGCCGATCAAGAAAGGTCAAAAAGTCTTTTTTTGTTTATCCAGACTGTACATACATGGACATTTATGATTGGTGAAAACTCATAAGAACATAATGATATGATTAAGAATACATGATAATTCATTACAAAACACCAATTAATCAAATAGTTTGCTTAATTTGACACTAAAAAATAAGGAAACCCATCTTTAAACAAGATATGATTAAGCTTATATTTAAATAAATATTCATTATCTAAGCTTACAGCTTTATTGTTTCTCAAGAGGCTACATGAATGTCAGATATGATCCTTCTCTGAACAACATAAAACACCCTAAGCGGTTGTTGGCAGTGGTATGTCTATTTTGCAGGTGAGAAAAACAGCTACTGCTGGCGAATGGACATCATGTGTACACTAGCTTCTGACCATTCTGTCTTGACTTTTTGAAGCCTAGAAAATGTGGGTTATTTCTTGTAATAGATAAGTTGACATTTGTTTTCAGGGAACCAAAGGAAAAAGTTTGGCTGTCAAGCTTGGTTTTAAATCTGCATCAACAAAGAAGTGAGTTATTTTGAACTTATCTTGAGGTTTACAAACCAACTGCACCAATAGTGAAATAATGGCGCTAAATATAGGCATTACAGTATTATGAATTATGGAATTCTTACAAGTCACTACAACATAAAATTTTCCTCGTGGCTCAGTGAGTTAGACGCTTGCTCGCTAACCTGAAGGTCCAGGGTTCAATCCTGGCGTAGATCGAGATAATACCTTCGGATTTTTCAACCCGGTTTCCCCCTGTCAGTGATGCAGGTAAGAGGGGCTGACATGGAAAAAGCGTCTAGTCGTTCGGATGGGAGAATAAACCGAGGCCCCGTGTGCTACAGGCTGTGCACGTTAAAGATCCTTCGACAGTTGGAAATCGAAAAAGAGCAGACTAATGTCGCTGTCCTGGCAAAATTTCCCTCATTGCACCCTGCATGGCATCGCCCGTCTTCATAAGCCCACAAGGTGCAGAAAAGTAGGACATAAAACTCCACTCATTTCATTTCATTTCTGCAGGTCGACTAGTATTAAAGAGAAGAGTGGTAAGAGACCAGTTCGAGGTAAAGCTGGATTTAGTTTATATCCCAGTGACAGTGATATTGACAATGTAGCTACATTAAATAATGATATTGATAAATGTTCCAATATACTTCAACAAATGATTGCAGTTAAACAAGGTAAGAAAAAAAGAGATCAAAATCAGCATTTTTATATGCCCACACTTTAATGTGGGTGTATATAGTCCGTCTGTCTGTCCACTATGTCTACATGTTTGTGGACACGATAGAGAGCTGGTTTCTTGATGGATTTTGACGAAACTTGGTGTGAGTGTTTGTTATCACCCAAAGATGAACCCTATTGAAAATCAGACGAATCGAAAAATATTTACTATGAGTTATTGCCCTTGTTCTTGAATTGTTTGTGGACACAATAGAGAGCTGGTTTCTGGATGGATTTTGACGAAACTTGGTGTGAGTGTTTGTAATCACCCAAGGATGAACCCTATTGAAAATCAGACGAATCGAAAAATATTTACTATGAGTTATTGCCCTTGTTCTTGAATTGTTTGTGGACACAATAGAGAGCTGGTTTCTGGATGGATTTTGACGAAACATGGTGTGAGTGTTTGTAATCACCCAAGGATGAACCCTATTGAAAATCAGACGAATCGAAAAATATTTACTATGAGTTATTGCCCTTGTTCTTGAATTGTTTGTGGACACGATAGAGAGCTGGTTTCTGGATGGATTTTGACGAAACTTGGTGTGAGTGTTTGTAATCACCCAAAGATGAACCCTATTGAAAATCAGACGAATCGAAA